AAAAACATCTTTTTTTGAGGATATTGACTGGGAGAAGCTCAGTCGGCGGGAGATTCAACCGCCATTCCGCCCTAGTAGCAATATATTGTGCAACTTTGACGAGGATTTTACTTCCAAGGAACCCCGGGCGGGTTTTCAAGAGGAGGATGGGGGTGAACACGGCAATATTGCCTGCTTTTCCTTTGATGGACAAATGGGTCCTGCTTAGGCGCTGAATTGCTCGAGGATGTATTATTTATTTATTTATATTTGTTTTTGGTTCTTGTTTTTGTGGTACAGTGGTGATTTCCATATAGGATCGGGCGTGCGCACGAGCCTACTGATCTGCGGTGAACGCTGGTAGCCTGAAGAAAATCTCGAACGAAGAAATGGAGAGGAAAGCGAGAAGACAAAGTGGGGAAATCATGGATGCGATATGTATGTATATACATTGCACAAGACACACACCCCTGCTCTCTATATGCTGGAGCATATACATATATGCATATATACATGAAGACCTTCCATTCACCAATACCATCACGACCACCAGAGGCAGCAACAGCAAAAAAAAAAAAAAAAAGGAAAAAGAAAAATGAACCGGAGGGTTCCTGTGGATTGTCTTGCATGCCGTTTTATGCCCAACTTCAACTTTTGCCATCGGTTTTTTTTTTTCTGGAATTATCAAACTGTTTTTTTTTTTTTTGGGAGGGGAGGGGGGGGTTACGCAATTTATCTCTTTTTTCTTTGTTCTTTTTCATGCGTACGGCAGTTTCTGTGTAGGTAGTTTTGCATTTCTGCCCTTTATGCGTTCAGCGTGACACGCGCTCGGTGGAGTGCGCCACAGGGAAGAGGGGCACGACGGGAGGCGAGCGAGAAGAGGGGGATTGGAGCGTCGCTGGACGGTAGTTGCAAATGCATTTCTCTTCTTTCTCCTTTCCTCACATTTGTTGACTCCACGACTAGTGCTGCGGCATGATGCGCGTGTTATTTTGGTTCTTTTGCCTTGCCTGCAGGTGGATCTCATGCTCGTCTCTAACCAGTGTGCATGCCTGCGTCCCACTCTCTGACCCGCGGGAACTGCTCCGCCTCTGTGCCACTGGGGCGGCAGGGCGAGAAGTATACGCGTCATTTGAGGCGTACATGCGCATGCATTTGCACACACACACAAACACACACGCTGTCCAATGCACGTTCGCTTGTCATTGTCGCAACCGTCTGTGCCCCTTTTCTTTACTTTTTATTTATTGCTTCATTTGCGCATTTCTTGTGTTTACAGAGAGAGCAATACGTTGATAGGTGGTGCAGCCGGTGAAGAAGAAAAAAAGTGGCAAATATCATCGCAAAGCCACTAAAAAGAAAAAGAAGGAGAAATACAAACAAACAAACAAAAACAAATAGGAGGTGTTGCCCAAGATGTCCATGAGAGGCTCTGCTACACTAACTCTTATAGCTGCGGGGATCTTGGCGTTTCTCACGGCTTCATCCTGCGTCTTCGTTGTTTGTGCCCAGGAGACCCTGAGTATTGCAGGGAGTGTTTCGGTGGCATTAAATGCCAGCCAGTACATAGATGTGCAAGTAGTACACGGTTCCACTGGGGCTGTTTTCCGCTCCCAGCCGTTGGACGCCACGCGCAGCTTTTCCTTCACCGGCCTTCCACTGACGGTCAATGAGGTTCGTCTTTTTCTGCGACTTCCGGAGCGGCGGTTTCGTCTTGATCGTGCGGCGTCTTCCCTTTCGGCCCGTATCCCAAATGTTGCTAGTGGCGATGATGTTGCATGGCTGCACTTGACTGCGGCAGTGGAGGAGGTTAGCAATGCTGTGCCAGAGAAGCGACCGCAGGGAGGGAGCGTGCTGACGGCTGTCGTCACGGTAACATTAATGGCTCTGGCGGCTGTGGGACGACATCGGCTTTTGTCGCTTCTTCAACTGCCGAACTTTAAGTTGTCGAAGCCGCGTAAAGTGATTGTGACGTCAGGCGGGTAGACGCCGGAACGGGGAGGCAGGGAAGAAGCCCTATACTACTCGAAAACACAAAATAATATATATGCAAATAAATATATAAAACGTCACCTCTCCCCCTTTCTTTTTTTTTTTTTTTTGTTTGTGTGATTGGTTTTGATCTTCTGATTTTCTGCGTTTTTTTGCAGCCCATACCTTTTGCGCGAGTTCCTTCACTTGCCCATTACCCACTTTTCATTGGCTTGTGTGCTGAGGCGGTCCTTGTCGTTCCGCCTCCTAGATGAGCTCCAAGTAAAAATTGCCCCACGGCAGGAAATCAAGGAAGAAGAGGGAAACACACATCACAGGAATAGACTGTTGGGGCCGACGCAATGGAAAACAACTCCGGGACAGATACAGGCGCGACGGCAATGAATATCGCCATGGCTTCAACTATTGTTTACGGCCTTGTGTTGCTTGCCGGGTCATGCTTTTTCTTTATAAGGCGTGGTAAAGGAAACTTCAGCTTACGCGGTGTTGGCGCGTCCGTTTTTTTTCTTTCGGCGTTCGCTGTCATGCCCACGGTATTGGCTCTGGGCATTGCAGGGGCATGGATCTGCACCGCTTACGACTCACTCGGAGGGGCGGTGGCGTTTCTTGTTGTTCCAGGGATGATTCTCTTCTTTCTGTTATTGGCGTGGTGTGCTGCGGCGTCACGAGACCTTGAGGAGATGGGTGGAGCGCTTGACTTTGATCGTTTGTAGGACTGTGCATTAACGTCCTTGCAACGCGTGTTTGATGGGCGACCGAATCAACAGGAAACCCTTGTATTTGTTTTGCCTTCCTTCCCGAACCCATATATGATGACGAGGCGTGGGTGTTATGTCTGCTTGATTTATAAGGGAGAAAAAGGAGGGAAAACCAGAAAACGTGACTCGCTTTTTTTTTTCAGTAGCGACCACCCGCTGTGTGATGTATTCTTTTCCAATGGCTGCTTGGAGGAAATTGGAAACAGTTTATTTCCTTTATTATTATTATGATTCCCTTTTTTTTTTTTTTTTGTGTGTGTGTGTGTGTGTTTGTTTGTTTGTCGGATTTATTTATTTATTTTTTTTATTTTATTTTTTCAAAGGACAATTTTATTTTTAACGACGCGACGGGTTCTGCAAGCAGCGCCACATTTTGTCACTGTGGGAATGTCAGGAGAGAAAAAAGAGGCTTTAAAGAATGCCCTGCCGCCCATTCCCGGCTGTGACACGGATGGTCAAACCTACAAATCCGCTGAAGAAATGTGGGCAGCTGAGCTTCGTGGGAACTTGTACGACGCTGAAACCGGATGGTACGGAAAGTCCCTGCAGTACTGGTCAAAAGTGCCGGCGACAGTAAGTGGTGTGCTGGGCGGTATGGAACACATCCACGATGTAGATCTCAAGGAGTCTCGGGCATTTATCACATCCATACCCGACCGTGGCACCTCCCGCGCATTGGATTGCGGTGCCGGTATTGGTCGCGTCACGAAATGTTTACTTAGCACGTTGTATACAGTCACAGATTTGTTGGAGCCGGTGGAAAACATGCTTGAAAAGGCCAAGGAAGAACTCAAAGGGTATCCAGTGGGAGAATTTTTTCTCTCTTCTATGGAGACAGTCAATCTAAAGCCAAATACGTATGATCTGATTGTCATTCAGTGGACAGCAATTTATTTAACAGACGACGATTTCGTGAAGTTCTTGGCTCACTGCAAAACAGCACTTACTTTGAGGGGTTATATTTTCTTTAAGGAAAACTGCAGTTGTGATGAACGATTTGTCGTCGACAAGGAGGACAGCAGTTTAACACGATCGGATGCACATTACAAGCGAATCTTTGCCGCAGCGGGGGTAGAGGTTGTGAAGGAGACGATGCAAAAGGAGTGGCCAGATGACTTATTCAAAGTAAAGATGTATGCACTGCGTTAAGTCACAGCTTTGCCTGGAATGAATATGGCACTGCATTGCGTCTGGATGCAAAGAGTAATGGGGGGATTTTGTGTGTCTGTACGTGTGAAGGGAAGGCGGTCCTTTTTGGGACCAATAACGTCCTTGAATGAAGTGTGGCTACCCGGTCTTTGGATGTTGGATGCCTCATTTATTGCACCCCCATTAAAAAAAAAAAAAAAAGGATGGGGGAGGGAGTGAGGGAGGGAGGCATGAACAAGCATGAGGAGGATATGTAATGTGCCTTCTGCAGAGTGACGTCCTTTTTATTTATTTTTTTCTTTTACCTTTTTTTTCTCTGCAGGTAATTTTTGTCCTATTCTGCCACATGATCTTCGACAAATTGCCCTTGGCGCCGCACTTAACCGCGGACACCGCTCTGCAGGACACGGTGGAGAGTGTCCTGGCGAGCTCCCACAGTCTTCTCAACAACGCGCGGCGTCTCAGTGACGCTGGCTTCAATGGCCCGCAGTCTCTTGGGGAGGAGCTTCTTGTTGGGCGGGAGGATCGTGCGGCGTCGAATTCCGCCGTCTCCGAGTCTTTTGGCCTTACCGTCGGCGCCTTCCACACCAAACTTGAAGAGTGTCGCGATTTGCTGCGCAGGGTCGATAGCGAGCGCCGGTTTTTCCGTGAGAGGGCGCTGGAAATGCAGCAGGCACTTGAAGAGGAGGGCAAAGAACGAAAGCATCTGCGCGCACAGATCGCCGAGTCGCAGCGGGAACTGCGGAAGGCACAACGGCAAGCCAGGGAGGCCCAGACGAAGACGCGCGATATGGAATTGGCCTTGGCGGCCGCAACGGAGGAGCAGATGCGCATGCGCCGGTTTTTGCGTGCATTGCCGGTTGAGAAGGAAAACCTCCTCCTCCTGGTGCCGGATCGGCGCTTTGAAGAGGCCTTTCGCGACAAAATGTCTGCGATAAAGTACAAGCGTCGCTACGATCGCGCACGAGAGTTGCACGAACGACGGTCAGAGGATGTAGAGAGAAAACTAATGTTAATGGAGGACAAATTTGTGGAGACACCGCAGGATGAATTGGCGTCCAGTCTTGCCAACACCCAGCACTTCAATTCCATTTCGTTGCTGAGCACGTCAACATTGCCGCGACTTTCTAACAGCTTCTCGGTTTCTCAGCTGGCGCCAACCGGTGCTGTGAGGGATTTTTTACATTTTCCGTTTCAGTTGCCCTTTTCTCACGTCACGGCGAAGGATGGTTACATCGACACGCGGATCCAGAGGTCGGCGTACAAGGAGCCATTGAGGGGCCTCCGTGAGGATCTTTTTTGGTTGAGCCATCGCCTCAAACGAACGCAGGACGTGGGACTGTGTAACTTGTATAATGTGGTACTCGAGTCTCTTCAAGGCAGCGGCAATTCCTCGGCACCCGTTATGTTTGGTCCCAAAAAGGCGTTTGAGGTGGCAATGGAGAAATTACAAAAGTCACACCGTGAATTGCTGTACCAACTGGTCGAGGTGGTGAACTCCTCTGTGACCCAGTTGTTGGAAAATGAGTCTCGGGTTACCGTGAAGCCCACCGTTTCGAGGCGTGACGTCGGGTGCAGTGTGTACAGTGCGCCTCCCATGG